TAAAGCAGATTTTGCTTTTTCTTCCTCTTTTTAGATAATAAAAATAGAACAATGATAAAAATGAAAAATTAACAATCAAACAAAACTTTAATAGAAAGCAAATGGAGGGAATGCATGCGCTTCACATTATCTTAATGAATCAGTAAACCACATGCACATACCTACTGATGCTACAAACAGAAACACAAATAGCTGATAAATATCAGCCAAAAACCACAAATATTGTCTAAGTTTCTGATAACTATTGGCCAAAATCCACAAATATTGGTCAGAAAAGATAAATATTGAATAAAAACCATTATTATCAGAGAGACTGAGACTTGCTCAAAGTCTGTTAATTGGGGTGAAGTTTATGTTTAGGAGCCCTCGCCAGGAGAAGCTGTCTTTTTTTCAACGTGTTTTCCACGTGAAACTGTCCATGAAGCGACAAGTTTTCCTAGATACAGAAAAGGGAATGGATGGAGGTCAAACACGCCTCAAGACTAAACCAGCCTCAAGTATTTTTCCTGTATCTCTACTGAAGTTTATGTATCAAAAACAAAATATAAATCAGAAAAATAAAACAAATTACGTTATTATAGATGTTATAATCAATGTATTTATTAAGATTTTGCCTGCTGTCTGATCACAGCGATGTCTTCCTGCACCGTTTTCAGCTGCAGCTTTTTTTATATTCCTTACAGCCTCCTTGGTTAACCTGCTCCGTCTGCAGCGCTGATGTTTAAGCACATGGCGCTTGGCCCACATCCCTCCTGACATGTCAGTGTTCTGTAACGTGGTGCTGAGGCAATATTTAACTTCAAGGGAAAGTTCACTTGGCACACTGCCGAACCTCTTGGGGTGGCTGCTACCGTGTACTACATCCAACCTTTCCACCCACCCAAAAATCATCCAGCTGACCCCGGGCAGCCACCCACAGCCTCGCAGCCGCAGCGCCGCTTGGACCAGAGCCAAACCAGAGAGCAACGAGCAAAACGCCAAGAGGGACAAAGAGCAAGATACACACACTCAAAATGCGAGTGTGAGAGGAGAAAACTGGTAAGCGTGAACACATTGCACCTTGGCCTGGCAGTCTGCCAACACTCACTCAAGAGGCTTTTTTTTCTTTCCCTGCCGACCGCAAAAGCCTATCGGCGGTCAACCCCTGTGGAGATTTCAAGTGTTTCAGTGAGACACTGCTGGAGCAGGGAGCGACACTGTCAAGATGAAGCCGTTTCCCAGCAGGTTGGATAACAAGGAAACTAAACTAAGCTCCAAAAATAAAAGGATTAAAAGGAAGAAATGTGCTTAGAGACCCATGATTAGAGGTAATGAGACCAAAACAAGGGTTTGTGAAAGGAGGGCTCAATTCCCAGCAAGGAGTCCCACTAACCTGTCTGAAGTGGTCATCGAATCCCCAGTCGGCCTGTCCATTAGGAGAGGTAGAGGAGTTTGGCCCAGCGGGAGACAGGCCCTCATCGGGTTCCTGCTTCACTCTAATGGACGGGGAGGCGGCCTTCTGGGGGGCCGACATTGAGTACCCCGCAAACGGACGAGCAGGGATGCGGGAGGCGCTCTGTTGCAGAGCCAACGTCTGCTTGCGGAGGAACTCCAGACCACTGGCGCTTCCCTCGTCCGTATCGCTGCCCTCATCCCCTTCCATCATCTCATTGTCATCGTCCTCGTCGCCAGAATCCCGGCCTCTGTCCTCATCCTCCTCTCTTTCTGAGTCTACACTGCTCTGATTGGACACGCGAGGAGGCAAGCCGCCGGCAGGAACGCCTCCGGTAATGCCTTTGCCCATAAAGTTGGCCCCGGAAGCCCGGGCTGCAGCCAGTATGGCCTGCTGGGCAGCCACCTGCTGAGCGTACATGATGTGAGCCTCTCGCAGCTTCCGCTCCTTCCTCTCCATTTCCAGGCGGGCCTGCTGCTGGCGCTGGAGCTGCTCCATCACTGCCTCCAGCTTCATTCCCCCTGTGGAGGTGTTCTGTGAGAAGACCACGCTGGGTTCCTGAGACATACTGGGCTGTGGAGGGAAGAGAAAGAGCCATAAAGCATCAGATATAAGAAAGAAAGAGTGGCATACACTCAAAAATATTCTGAATAACTTTTGAGAACCATATTTGTAAAAAAAATATTGCCTTGAAAATCAGATAAATTACTTTGATTTGTATTCTCTGTAAGATAAAACAATTCACACAAACTCTTAATGAAAACTGGGAATTTTCCAATAAAACTTTTCATTTGTGATGCGATGAAGATATTGCAGCTTTAATGACCAAATAAAATACGATATTGGAAAGAATCCTACATCGTGTTATTACTTATTTTGAAGTGTGAACAGCTTACCAATTTATTTCTAACCAATGAGTTTTTTCAACAGAAGAGGTTAGAGGAAAATCTGCTGATAAAATCTGATTTTTATTTTTTGGCTGGTATGTGACCTATAATCAATACTGGATAAAGACATCCCTAATTCAAACTAACAAATATAGCTTTTAGCATTTTAACAAAATAACTTAAGCAGTTAATTAAATTAAAAGGTATATCATCATTTTATTTGTAAAGATAAGATAAAGAAATATTCAGCCATAACTTCCTACAATGATTTCATGACAAACTACGGCATTTTGCTGGCATAGTGTGTTATTTTTGAATTTTATTTTTGTTCACTTTGCAAATTTAGCCTTTCTGTGTAAATTTACCAAGGTTATTAATATCAGGTCTGATTTTAGCATAAAAAATTCTTATCAGATTTTATCGGCCGACATATAACACCTCAGACAATTTCAGGCTGATAAACACTTTGCTTCTGTTAAAGTACCTTTTATTGCTGACTTTTGTTTCCAGTTTTAATTATACTATTTCATCAATCCTTTCTAACATTCCACTTTTATAAAATAAGTAATAAAACCTGGAACAATTTGGGTCAATATCGTATTGAGTCAATATCGGTATCAGACAATTCTCAAGATGCAATATCAGTATGGCATCTAAAAAGAAGAAGTTGCATCGGGACACCCCTAATATTCACCATTACATCTTGTGACCGGGATTATGTCACTGCACATGCATACAATTGGTCAACATGCCGAAGCAATGGAGGCAAGCGAGTTTGGGACTCCCACAGTAGTTGCAAAAAAGAAAAAAAAGTCCAAGATCAAGAGCAAAAAGGTGCAAAAGGATGTTTTATTCCAAGAGGGAAAATACTTGAGTTGAACTGGAAAAAACAGTCTGACTGTTATAGATCATTAAGGCTGGAGCTAAAGCTCAGGAAGCATCCTGGTGTCGCTGTAAAGTTGGTAGACATGACCTAGCTAATAATGCTACTGCTGTTAGCAACACTTTAAGCCCTATCCTCCACTCTTTCATTATTCAGCAAGGCATTACAGCACTGTAAAGACTTATTTAGTAGCGGCACCATTGGCCCCCATCGGACTTTCTGGTAGTTCAGCTGTACTGCCTCTAGATGGCGCCACGTCTGTTTATGCCAGCTCATGGCGCCCCCTGTGCTGAGGTTCTATTTAGGCTCAAAAAGGATGATTTAAAACACTAACAGGACGGATGTTTAAATAGCCTTATCTTATCATAATCAACCTGATTTTAGTATTTTTGGTATAGATATATAACACAGCTATATACAAATACATCAAATATAGTTTAATATATTGTAACGGGGACGGGCTCTGGGTCAATTCATCCACAAATTCTTACCTATAATAAGGAAAATATTTTTCTTTAGGAGGAAGCCAGAGCACCTGGAGAGATCTCAAGCATGCATGCTAACTCCATGAAGAAGGTTTTGTATCCAGAGTGATTCTGCTGCCAGATATCTACCAGCACATCTCTAATGGAGGATTTCCATTCATTCTAGACATCATAATCATCACTGACCATATTTAGCTTAAATCAATCAATCATTTTTAGCTAAAAAAAAATCCCAAGACCTTTTTATTACTCCCTATCTTTTATTGATTTCCGTCCCCTCTATGGAAACACAACAAATTACGAATATCAGTGAAACCAAGACAACTCGGAGGATGAGGAGAGCCCACCTGCCCCCCCCATCCTCCCCACCTTCTCCAG